CCGTAGAAAAATATGGGACTCGGGCATGTGCCCGGAGTCGAAATCCGAGGTCTAGAGCCCGAGAAAAGAATTTTTCTGTGAAATTGTTTTTCTGAAATTATTAAGGAAAATGGAAATGCGAATTGATTAAAAGACTGTGGTATCGGGCTCGTATTTTGGTTCCGACGCCCGGTACAAGTCTTATATATGGGTTAAGCCCTTTCTGTTAAATTTGGTTGAAATCGGACGTCATTTGACGTGTTTCGGACCTAAATATCTAAAATTTGAAGTTTATGAAGTTAGAATGAAAAATGATGATTTTGAGGTTTGATTCCTCGTTTATGATGTTATTTTAGCAATTTGATCGCTCGGTTAAGTTCGTAGGATGTTGTTGGGTTAGTGTGTGTGATTGGTTAGGAGCCCCGAGGGCTCGGGAGTGTTTTCGGAGGTGTTCGAGGTGTTATTAAACTTAGAATGATAGCAGATTTTTCTGCAATTTTTGCTCAGATAATTGCTTCTTCGCGTTCGCAGCACTCAGCTCGCGTTCGCGTACCAGTGGGCTTTCCCTTCTTCGCGTTCGCGGACAAGTCCCCGCGTTCGCGTAGCCTTGGTTTCCCCTTCACCGCGTTCGCGAGCCCCATCTCGCGTTCGCGTACAAGCAAATCCCGGACCCAGCCCCATCCTTCTATGCGTTCGCGACTAGCATCTCGCGTTCGCAATGCTTTGACTCATCTACCCTTCGCGAATGCGGCCCCCTTCCTGCGAATGCGAAGGGCATTTTTGCCCAGTGATTTTTAAAGCTCAAAAACAGACCAGTGACGGGATTATTCCCAAATTTCACACGAGCTCTTCTTCTCCACAGCCCCTAGGTGACTTTTAGAGCGATTCTTCACCAAAGCTTCTTGGGTAAGTATTTTCTAACTCGTTTCCTTCATTTTCTATCATCATTTATCAAAATCCTAGACCTAAATCATGTAACTTAAGGTGTAAATTGGGGGAAAAGGGTAGAATTAGGGCTTTTTAATTTTCTTTGATTTAGACCTCGTTTTGGGGTCGAATTTGAAAACAAATTCTATATTCGGGCTCGTGGGGGAATGGGTGACATGGAATTGGTTCGAACCTCGAGTTTTGACCAAGCGGGCCCGGGGTCGATTTTTGGAATTTTGGGTAGAAAGCTTAGAAATTCATATTTAGGCATTGGGTTTAGTTTGTTTAGCTATTATTAATATTTTAAAGTCATTATTTCATAGATTTGACTGAGTTGGAGCCAAATTCGAGGGGTAAAGCTATACTAGAGGCTTGAGTTGATTTTGGAGCATTTGAGGTAAGTGTTTGATCTAACTTTGGCTTGAAGGAATAGGATTAGAGTGTTATTATTTGCTAATTGCTAAATGATCGAGTACGGTGTATAGGCATGGTGACGAGTATTTATACACCGGTGTCTAGCATGACCGTGGGTCCTTGTGTGTACTTATCCTGATATTGTTATGACTCCTCCATGTTAATTGATGAATTCTATGCAATGTGAAGAGTATGAGGACTAATTATGAATTGTAAATTCTTTGGAGCGTTGGCTCGAACGATAAAAAGACTATTGAGTAAGAAATGAAAGAAATAGAAAGTGATATGATTAATCCTTGCCGGGATGGTTTGAGTATATTGATTATCTCCCTTGCCGGGATGTGAAAGTATTGTTGTTGCTCCCTTGCCGGGATTTAGCTGTTAATTGTGTAATTCCCTTGCCGGGACATTTCTTATTATTTGTTTATCCCCTCGCCCCGTTTGGTTGTGATTACTGTGAAGGGTCATTCCGTGCCACGCTTTGATTATATTTGCACGAAGGGTCATTCCGTGCCATGTTTGATTATATTTGCACGAAGGGTCATTCCGTGCCATGTTTTGATTATATTTGCACGAAGGGTCATTCCGGGCCATGTTTTGATTATATTTGCACGAAGGGTCATTCCGTGCCATGTTTTGAATAATTATGCACGAAGGGACATTCCGTGCTCTGATTTGATTATAATTGCAGGAAGGATCATTCCGTGCCATGATATGAGAGTTACGTGAGGGAAAGCACGAAGGGTGATGCCGTGCACTTTATTTGATTGCTTTTGGTGAGAATGAGAGTAAAAGCACGAAGGTTGATGCCGTGTAACTTCTGATTTTCCTGCTCTCATTAATTATTGTTATTGCCCTGTTTCTTACTTAAATTGTTGACTTTATATCCGGGCTGTAATCCCCCATAGTATGCTCCCCTCCCTCTTAACTGTTTAATTTCTTTGTTCTTTCCTTTTATTGCATATATATATTGAACTGCACAGGTTGATTTGGTAGTCCTGTCTAGCCTCGTCACTACTTCGCCTGGGTTAGGCCAGGCACTTACCAGCACATGGGGTCGGTTGTGCTGATGCTACACTTCTGTGCTCTTTTGCACAGATCACGGTACCGGAGCGGCTTTTGGACTACAGCAGTAGGATATTGATCGGGAGCTGACTTCAGTCGAGGGACTTACGAGGTAGCCTAGCTGGCGTTCGCAGGCCGGAGTCCCTTTCCATGTTTTCAGTTTGTTTTCATTGTACCGAGACAGACATTTATGCATTTTCTATTCAGACTTGTTGTAGCACTCTTTAGTAGTTCGTGAGATAGCGACACCAGTCTTGGGTGGAGGAATGTTAAACTTCCGCATTTTTGGGTTTTCAGTTATCTATATTTTAAAGACTTTCGCTTTTATTTAAATGACCCGTTATATTTACATTGTTATTGTTGAGGTGAAATCAGGGAATGTTTAAAATGTTTGGCTTGCCTAGCTCCGTTAGTAGGCGTCATCACGACTCCCGATGGTGGAAAATCCGGGTCGTGACAGCGATCCTCCAGAATGAAGGGTGAATCAGGCCAAGGCACACCTTGTACCTTTTGTAGAAGTCAATGATGACCGAGTACAATGGGCCCAGCATAAAGGGATAAGTGTAAACACTTAAGTATCCCTCGACGTGGGTGGTGATTTCTTCATCGGGCCGGGGAACCACCACGTGCTTGTCAACACAGTTGCAATCCTTTTTGATCATGGGGAGAATTTCTTCACTGATCGAACATATGTATCTCGAGACCTTCTCACACCGGCTCGGTATGGAGGAAGGTTTTTCAATCTTAAAATCGGCGGTTACCAAGCACCCACCAGGGATGAACGTGTTCAAAGGGGGTTCCGCCATTGGTTCCTCAACAACAGTACGTGGAACGGTCTCCTCGCTGACCGCAATGTAGAGGGAGTTTATTTTTGGGGAACAGTTTTTGAAGTCTTCGCCAATTCTTTTTAAATGAAGGGAAAAAGAAGAAGAGGAAGCTAGAGCAGTACGCTTGATGATTTGGGGTGAAGACGAGCAAAAGTCCTCACAAAAGATCTCAAGAAATCAGAGGATAAGTGCCAGAAAGTAGAGAAATTTCTAAGGAACAAGGGTAGAGAGGTTGGATGTAAAGCTTGAATGAATAAAGAAGGGGGTACTTATAGTTTTCAAACGACGGTTCGCATCCAGGGTTGACCGACCGGCAACTGACAAGCATTTAATGCCATTAAGACTCGACTGACGCGACGTTTCGTTTATTTTGTCGTTTTCGTCGCAAGGTATCAAGGTGAGAATCGGGAGCTCATGTGGTTTCTCGTCGTCTACTCTCCGAAAAATGAGGGGACTATTTGTGTACGGTAGAAATCGGACTCGTCTACGACATGGTAGATCGGGCTCGGAACATGGGGGACTGAAAATCAACCCCAAGTCCCACCAGGCCAGAACCCGAGATCAGAATGTCTGTCCTCGAGAACATTGAGTCTGTGATCCCAGAATCGACCCTGACCCCGAACGAGCTTGAGGAAACATTGTCAGCCTAACCAACAGAAGACTGAAATATCTGTCACTGGTCGGATATTACGGCGGGAATCTCGGCACGTATCAATAAGGAACCGGTAAATCGGTGAATCAAGAGATTTTTACCTTTTATAGAATTGTACCTAAAGTAGGACTCCCCTACTTAAATAAAGGGGGTCTGATTACTTGTAAAACACATTGTAACACGCATTCCAAAGCAATACATTATTCTTCTCTTTAAGTTCTTATTTTAGTTATGTCTTGATACCGATCGAAGTACATTCAGTTCGAGGGTGGCTAATCTCCCAAGACTATAACTGTTCAATTCGTGTGGTTTGAATTTACTTTATCATTGTTCATTTCAATTGCAATTCAATTCATCGCTTAGTGTCAAATTAATTCACGTATCCTTAAAATCACTTACAAATTCAATTGTAAACAGATTTTGAGGGTAAACAATTTTCCTAAAAAATTATCATTAAGAGTTTAGTAATTTTTGACGTGCACCTCCATGCAAGTGTCTCATTCTCAAACTATCGAAACAATCCACAGTTTCACAAAAACCAGAAATACACACAAAACAAAATCAGTTCTTGCTTAGCTCACTTCCAGTCTGTAGAGCGAAAACCATTCCCTCTTTTAAAAAGTTATCCAAACATTGTGAAAACACATTCATACTTTGTGTTCATTGTACTTCGTGTTATACTAAGTTAAATAATTTATTTAAAGAATTGTAAACAAACTTTTAATACATTAAAATTATAAGTAGATGATAAAATTTATTCAAATATACTTAAGGAATCATTTGTTCAGGCTGAGGTCTAAATATGCAGAAATTAAAAGCCCAACTTATTTATGCGCTGATTGATAATGAAAAAATTGTTGTGCAGTCAATAATAATAAAGAGATTATTATATTACAATTAAAAACTCATTTTCGTTTTAAGATATTACAGCATTGCTAATATATGTAATTTTAGTTCAATGTTTAATCTAACGTAAAATAATATATGTTTCTAACTTAATGCGTGTATTATCAATATTACAAACCAAAATTTTATATTACTATACTAGCGGCCTTGTACTTCATCAGTCAAACCACTCAAACGCGTTGAACATAGACCAAAAACCTCCCTATTTCATTTTACCATCCATCTCTTTCCTTTCTCCTTCTGCAGACCACTGAACTCCCCCACTTGCCTCCTTTTCTATTTCTTAATTTAATACATCCCCACCTCTTCTTTTCCCTTTCCTAATAAGCAATACTAACATATTCTTTATCTTTATTCACTTCACCATCTTCCTATAAAAACCAATAGATCTCCACCTGCCACTCCCCACCAAAACAAACAACATCCTCTTTCCTTCAAAACCCATAATTTTTTTTTCAATTTTAGGGATTACCCGTTTAAGGATTTTGGAGATTAAACGACATGGCTATAAAAATTCGGGAAGTATGGGCTGATAATCTTGAATCAGAATTTGAACTCATTTCTACGGTGATTGATCAGTACCCTTTTATATCTATGGATACGGAGTTTCCCGGTGTTGTTTTCAAGCCTGCTGAAGTTTACCGTCGCCGGCGAAATTTGCCGTCCGATCAGTATAAGTTATTGAAGTCAAACGTTGACGTATTGAATCTTATTCAGCTCGGTCTTACGTTATCTGACGCTGAGGGTAATTTACCTGATTTGGGCTCCGGCGAAGGTCACCGGTACATCTGGCAGTTCAACTTCTCTGATTTTGATGTGACCCGTGATCTATACGCGCCGGACTCTATCGAGTTGCTCCGGCGACAGGGGATTGATTTCGAGATGAACCGAGAATGTGGGATTGACTCGGCCCGGTTTGCAGAGTTTATGATGTCGTCCGGTTTGGTATGTAATGATTCAGTAAGTTGGGTCACGTTTCACAGCGCGTACGATTTTGGGTACCTTGTGAAGATTCTCACGCGCCGGGAATTGCCTGGTGGTTTAGAGGACTTTTTGGAAATTCTTAGGGCGTTTTTTGGAAACAAAGTTTATGATGTGAAGCATATGATGAGGTTCTGTAATAGCCTCTATGGTGGGTTAGACCGGGTTGCGAGTACATTGGCTGTGGACCGGGCGGTCGGCAAATGTCACCAGGCCGGTTCAGATAGCTTGTTGACGTGGCATGCATTTCAGAAAATGAGGGATATTTATTTCGTAGAAGACGGGCCAGAAAAACACGCTGGAGTCTTGTATGGATTAGAAGCTTATTAGGAGAAGGAATTCACTAATTGTATAATTGTTAGTAAATAAAAGCTATTTAATTCATTCTTTTTAATTGAAACTTTGGTTCTGTGAATTTAGTTTAAGTTTTAATGGAAAAGGTTTAATGAGTTAAACTCCTTTCATCCTAAGTTCTTGTATAATGGTCCTTAAGCAATTTGGTTAAGAACGTCTATTCATAAAATTAAGGACCCTTAAATACTTAAATTAGTTTTTTCTAGAAAAAAATGCATTAGTTCCTGTTCCACTTCCTAAAGCTCAATTCCAATCACGCTGTTTGGTACCAGAGGCGGATCTACCTTAGAGCCTATGGTGCACGTGCACCCATCCTCTTTGGCTTTAAGAGTGGATTTTTTGTACAATTTTTTTGAAATGCTGGTTCTATATTAAAGTGTGAACCCATGGTGAAAAACAAACAGCGGGTCCCTTTTTTTTTTTCTCTCCGATGCTAGGTGCCTTACTGCATATTTCATAGAGCTTCTGCGAATTTACTAATCTTTTTCTCAATTTTCTTTTTCTTTTAGCATTCTAGATATAGTTTTTATTTTATATTTTGGACATACAAGCAATTTATTGATTAAAAGTTAATCATATGCTCTAGGATTTTTGTTATTTTCTTGCACTTAATTTGCAATATAGTAACAAGTAATCACCACTGATATTACCAATAAAATAAAGATACGAATTTACATATATATATATATATATATATATATATATATATATATATATATATATATATATATATTTGTACCAAATAATAACTTTTAAATATTTTAATTTTTTCACATAACTTGACATTATTATCAACATCAATTTTACTTAAAAAATTAGTAGTACACCCATGATGTTCAAATCCTAGATCCGCCTCGGTTTGGTACTGGTAGTCTAACAAAATAAAACTAACAAAACAATTGTATATACTCTATAGATTTGACAGTTCTTAGTTAAGCCTAAGAACTGTTGACTTTGGGTTGACTTGCATTTCCTTTCAAATCAAAATCTCATAAGAAAAAAAGTTAAATTCTCGTGGAAAATCATTTTTTTTTGACTTTCACACGGCTTTTCATGAAAATTTGAAACTTTCAGCCAAAGAATGAGCCGTTTCAACAAACAATTTATGCATGTCCTATTTACGATTGTAACTTCTTTTTAAAGGAGAAATTGTTATCATAAAATGAATTTTGCTTTGATATCACCTACCCATGTTTATCCAATTGTTCTGGTCGAAAGATGAAATATTAATGCATCATAGCAAAATGTAGGATAAATTTGGACCAAAGAGTTTGTAGCCAGGTAGCTAATACGTATAAACGGAGTGGTACTTTTCAAAATGTCAATAAGCTTCATAAGCAAACACTCTTAGAAAAATAATGAGATTGGAATAATCTGGCTTCAATAGTGTAATTACTTTTCTTAAGGAATTGAAGCTTCCCCCTTTGTTGCTGCAGGGATAATAGCATAATTTTTCCAGGATTTTACAAAGCCATTGTTCGAGTTTCAGCAATTAATTCGAATGTTCCACAAGAACAGAATATTTGTGAAAATAAGTAGAAGAGAATTAGATGGAAGTCTTCAGATGTATTTCCTATGGAATTGGGGGTTGCTCCAACACGTGACAACCACCGCCGACCAGTAATTCCAGCCACGGTTCATCCGTTTTCGCTTCCGCTTCACGAAGAACAAGTAAGTTCTCATTTTACGATTTACGCGCTATCTAACGTGTTTAGATTAACGTGTTCCTTCATTGGTACCAGAGCCATAGGCTGATTTTCCGGTCCGAAAAATTGATTGAATAGTTCTAATTCTTTTCTACGTGAATCTGGAACTATGTGTTTATTTATTTTGAATTTTCTGTGCAATTGGAAGTGGTTAATCCATTCAACTTTTGAATGACATTTTTTTCAAATAGAAATCAATTTCTAGAATTGAAGAAAATATTCACGTAATTGAATTTAGATCTATGAATATTTTATTAATATTCTGTATTGTAATTGACGATAATTTCCTACACTGATTTGAAACTACTAAGTTTTAAAACAGTCTACTTTTTTTGTAATCTGATATTTTTTGCCCAATCAGTACTGATTGATTGTATAATTTAAAAAAAAATATTTTTTTTTGTGGTTATCGATCTGTAACCCCTAGTCGCCATAAACAGCCGCCTCTAAACCACCGCGCCACTGCTACGAGCACTGTCAAAGACTCAAAGAACGGTGCTGTTTTATAAATTAAAAAAAAAGGGGGGGAAAAGAAAAAGGAGAAACTAGAGTTTCTCTATGAAAGCGGCAGAATAACAATAGAAAGAAGAGAAACAAAGATTTCTCTGTTTCAAATATTGATGGAGCTTTGTGCTCCAGTATAAAGAAAGTTGACGACTGAAATTTGCAAGATAGAAGAAGTAGTAAAACCTAGTTTTCCTACTAAAAGGTCAAGGCCTATGTAAATATTTTATAAAATAAACTTGGGCTTCTTGTTGCTTCTTCAAAAGCAAGTGGACAGAACTAGTAATTAATTGGGCTAAAGGCCCACTTCATGTTGTCTTGCAATTTTTTTGTAGGAATTTTTACATTCCTATACCACATAGGAAACCTTTTTACCCTACATGTTTAAGGTTTAAGTAAATTACACTTAGTATACCAAATTACCAATCCTATACCATACTTAATTAAGGGTCTAATTAATGGGTTGTTTTTACTCCTTAATTAAAGGTATCCATATCTAATTAATGGGTAGTTTTTACTCCTTAATTAAAGGTATCCATATATCCCACGTTTCTCTCTCCTTGCCCCTCATCCCTCACCCACGTTTTTACCCATACCCCACATTCTTTTTACTATTTTTCCTCTTCTGTAACCAAACAAAATTCCACATCGATTGTGTTCTGCTTTTTCACATCACTGATGAATACTCAACAGTTTAAAAGATAACGGAGAACCAATAATTACCGATGAATACATAGATTGTAGTTTAATTGTAGTATAAATGTAGTAGTTTTGTAGATACCCTTAAAAACAATACTGCTTTATACAATACTTAAACTAATTTGTAGTTTATTTGTAGATGTTTTGTAGAAAATTTGTAGAGGAAGAGAAAATTTTGTAGTCAACATTTTTTTCCAACATAGATTGTAGTTTAATTGTAGTATAAATGTAGTAATTTTGTAGATACCCTTCAAAACAATACTGCTTTATACATAGTAAACTGATTTGTAGTTTATTTCTAGAAAATTTGTAGATGAGGAGAAAATTTTGTAGTCAACATTTTTTTCCAACATAGATTGCATTTTAATTGTAGTATAAATGTAGTAATTTGTAGATACCCTTAAAACAATATTGCTCTATACATACTTAAATCATTACGCAGATGTGCGCTCTTCTTACGGGATGTTGGTGTTATTATCACGGGGAGAATGAAGTTTTGAGAAGTGAAGTCCAAAACAATTTTATTTTTGTCATACAAAAATTTTGTGGTCAGTAAGATGCTTGAATTTCATTATGATTGTATTCTTTCGCCCTGGAAATTAGAAATCCTTTTTCCTTTCTTTTGTTTTATGGTTTTAGAGGAAAAAGGCATTATCTTTCCCAAAAGGGTAAACGTTTTTCTGTAGTAGATATAGAGATCAGTAGTAGTGTATAACTGTATGTACCAATGCCTCAACTCACAGTGCCTTCTCCTGTATCAATATCAAATATCATGAAGAATGTTCTTGTTCTCGTTCTCCTCTCCTGATGAGAATATATTGATTCTGGGCTCCTTAAAAATTTGTGTCCAACTTCAGCCATGAAGAAACCCATGAAAATCATCAAACGCAACAAAAATCCAGCGAAAACAGCCCCAAAAATCAGAGAAAATCAGCATCAAACTCAGCATTTGCTCGACAGTATTGATTTTTGATGACCTTTTTGTTCGGATCAATGACGGAGAGTTGATACCTGATTTGGAGATGGACGCAGAGATTTTTGCTGAATTTTCAGTTAGTAGTGGGGATGAATCTGATGTGAATATGAAAAAATATTTTAGTCCCAAATTTGTAGGCGNTGTGTATCATCGAGATTTTCACATAAAAATAGGTGATTTTGTTTTAAGTGGATGTGCTATATAGAAATTAAGTCTTCTTTGGCATTTAATATCAACTGCCATGAAAAATTAATGTTTTAGATTTCTATTAAACGTGATTATCGGTCCAAATGGATAGCTTTCTGCTGGGAGATGTATTTATGTAGTTGCCATATATGTAAAATACCTATTGTTGCTAGGAGTATGAAAAAATTTCTTAAATTTTGGCTGTTTATGTTTTTTCCTCTCACTTTTATATGTCTTGTTTAATTTTATTGTAGGCAAATGGCCTAAATAAAATTTAAATTTAGTTATGTTATTTTTTAAATAAATTTCAGATTATTAAAATTAGTCTTATGGACTTAATTTTCAGAATATAAATTTAATATTTATATTCTTTTATGAAATCTATAATTGTCTTATTATCCCAATTGCTTGTAATGTTAATTAGTTTAACATTAAATTTATTTGTTAATTTGTTTAACATGTTTGAAATATTAATTTGTTTAACATTCAATTTATTTGTTAATTTGTTTAGCATGCTTGAAATGTTAATTTGTTTAACATGCTTGAAATGTTAATTTGTTTAACATTATATTTATTTGTTAATTTGTTTAACATGCTTGGAATGTTAATTATTTTTAACATTACTTTTGTTAATTAGTCAAGCACATGCTTTATGTTAATTTGTTTAGCATGATATAAATATTAATTGGTTTAATATAAGCAATACTTGTTAATTTGTTTAGCATGTTTAATATGTTAATTAGTTTAACATTAAAATAAATTTTATGTGAATTTGAATAGCATGTAATAAATGTTAATTAGTTTGACATTAATTTTATTTACATGCTAATATAAGTTATTTGTTAACTTATGATCCACATGGGATTGTAAAATCATGATTAGATAATTATGTTGTCTTAAACATGATTAAGACGCTTAGCTAGATAATTGAATAGGTTAATTTTCATGATATTTTAATTCTTGGAAGATGATTGGGAACATGGTGAACTTTCGACTCCATAATCAATATATGTGTTTATTAACTTAATCAATTG